TATGGAAATTTTCCAAAATAAAAGTAGTACTCTTTTATGTTAAACATGTTATTGTCATTTGGCAAAAAAAAAAAAAAGGTAAATTATAGCAAGTTATCATTTGATGGCTTATTAAAACAAATGACTATAGGAAGGGATTGCATAACAATGAGTGTTTTACTTTTCAAGGAGAAGAGAGAATTTGGGGGGGAAGGGGTAGGCAGGGAGAAAAGTGCAACAATGAATGACTGGAAACCCTAAGTCTCTGTAAACTTTCATTAAAATTAATAAAAAAACTCTTAACAAAAACCAAAAAAACCAGGGGAGCTCTGGTGGCCTAGTGGCAAGGAGCTGCAACTACAATCCCAGAGGTGCACGGTTCGAATCCACCAGATGCTCTGCCGGGGAAGGAGGGACAATCTCCTCCAGTACCAGTCAGATCTGATTTGACGGTACACGCACACAAAAATAACAAAAAAAAACAAAAAACAAAAAACCAAAAAAACCAAATGACTATAAAGTTCAATATGTAATGGTTAAAATTAGGTATTTAAATAGACATGAATGAGTAAAAACAGTTCTGCTAAATTTTTACAAGATGTAGGCCTTGATTTAATATATCCTCTATGCAACCTTCCTATTTTGTTAAAAGAGATATTTCTGGAAAAATATCTCACACTCTATGCCTTAAAAAGTGCAGCAATGAATGAATGGAAATCCAAAGTCTCTGTAAACTTTCATTGAAATTGATAAAAAAAGGTTAAAAAAAAAGGTCCAATATGCTCACATATACTCAGAGTGAGGTCAAAGTGGCCAGGTGTTCCCAGTTGTTGGTTCTCAGTAAAATATGTGTCACTCCTGAATTTCATCAAATAGTAGCCTTAATTAGGAATCTTCATCCAAAAAGTCTTGTTAATTTACATTATAATGATCTTCTCTTTTCCTAACAACTCTTTTCTAAATGGCATGGATATCTGGTATTAGCTACTTCCCCCCAACTTGCCCCAATTTTGTTATTATATTTGAAGACTTCGACAAAAGCAGACTGAAAATTCACACAGTGGTTTTCTTTCAGAATATTAAAAATACCAATCATACTACTTAGAGTGTAACTTGAAGTTATATATATATATATATATATATATACTCTATTTAATTAGAATAAAAATTTAGGTGAATGGCCTTTTAAAGGCTATGAACATTTGGTGCTAAAAAGAACTTGATCTGTGATAAAATGTTGGTTTCTTAAGGCTATTCTATCAAACCACTTCAGGGCCACTATATTTGTATCAGCTCTTCAGACTATATAATTTTATTTGAACTGGCAAGTATATTTCTGGGAGAGGTAATTCGCTTTCTTTTTAAAGAAATATTTCTGGGCACTTAGTCAAAGAGCAGCTGTGAAGGTCTCTTTATTCCTGTGAGGGCAATGATCCCTCTGATTACTAAACGTTTCTCAGTTTTACATATACTTACATACATTCTCGGAAAGTGCTGAAGTCATCAACCTGGGTGCCAAAGACAAGATATGCCAACTGAGCGTAAGCTAAAAAAATGATGAAGAACATAATAGCAAAGCCGAAGAGGTCTTTGGCACACCGTGACATGGTTGTGGAGAGCTGGCTCATGGTCCTGTTAAAGTTGATAAATTTGAAGAGCTGTAAAAGAGAAAGGAGAAGTTACTTGCTTTAGTTAAGAAACTGCACTTCCAAAGCAAGGGTAAGCAGTTCAAATCCACCAACTACTGTGAGGGAGAAAGATGGGCAATCAACTCCCGTGTGATTTACTGCCTCTGAAAACCTGCTGGATGGGCAGCTATAGGTTGGCTCTCGCTCTAAGTACACAATAACAACAACAACAACAACATATTGAGGAACTTCTAGCCATTTGTTCAAAGAGTACTTATTGTGGGACTATCATGTACCAGGCGCTGGTTTTGAAATTCTTGCTCTTCAACTCACATGATGATTAAAGTGAAAACAAGTTGTTATTATTATTATTAAAAAAACCAAATGATGTTTCCCCTGCAAAATAATTACAGTAGAGGAGAGATAGAGGAAAAAAAAACGAAACACCAACCTCACCAATTAAACAAACTTAAAAAAAATAAAAAAAAAATACTTAGGTCATATTAACACTGTCATAGATTGTACTCCAACTCTGTGCCAGGCACTACGGTGTGAGACATTTATGTGCCCAGGCTGCACTGTGACATTATGGATCAGTGGTGATCTCTCTTCAGGAGTTGAACTCAGGTTGATTTTATTACAGAGCCACGATGAACACTTCGGAAGAAGAGCCACTGAGAGTGGTCACTGCTCCTGGTGGAGACCATGGTGGGTCAAATATGAGAAATACATGTCATGAACCTCACCATCTCCACTCCCCTCCATAAATACAGAACCTTAATGATAAAGCTTTAGAGGTAAAATATGTATAGATAAATATGTAAAAATAGAGGTAAAATATTTATAGGTTAATACGTAAAGTAAAACAAAGCTTGAGGCATACACTGGAAAGAATTCCTTCAAATTTTACTTACAAGCTTCTAACAAATGAATGTTTCTGGCCATGACAGATTTCTTTTTTGAAGGTGGTTATAATCACATGACTTAATTTTTTATTAGTTTGAAATCTTGATCCTTATGACTACCTTTTGATAAAGGTTTGGGACTTTGGCGACAGTTTCAGAATGACATTAATTAAAAGTTCCCTGAACCACATTAATTAAAGTAACAGGATGAGAAATACTGGGATGAGGTACTAGGGATGTCCCTCTGAGCAGCCGCTGCTTCTCCAGGTATACACACAAGGTGAATACCTCTGCTGCATGCTCCTCAAGAACAGAGCTGTTCCAGAGAACTCTCTCGTCACATGCAGACACTAAGCACTCAAAAAGGAAAATGTGCAATAATGAATGAATGACAATCCAACTTTTCTGTAAACTCTCATTAAAATCACAATAATTATGTACCTATTGTGACCGAGGAACTGATTTCTCAACTGCATTTAATTTTTATTAAATTTAAATGGTCACATGTGTTTACTGTTTGGAAGGGCAGTCAGAGAACATGAGTTGTTGAAAAAGCCAGAAGCTGCCTCAGAACTACAGAGATTCTCTGCATTTCCAGAGCTGGGTTTCATTCCACACAAATATCATGGAGATACTTTCAGAAACAAGTGACTGAGAAATTACTTGGAAGAGCAGGTGTCTGTTCCAATCTCAACTTTAGGTAAAGATACCTGTGGCTTCCACCTGGAAAAGAGATACACTTTCTAGTATGCAGTGTCTTTTTCTTCTACCTGGTCCTTCTGTTCTCTTTTTCCTTAGTTCCTTATTTTCACCCAGTGATTCTGTCAAGGTAAAAAACTGCGCTGCGTCCCCATGTCAGAATAGCCTAGAGCCCCACGCCCCATTAACATAATGAAAAGGCCACCCTATTGCATTTGCAAAATGGCAAATGCAAGGACAGGTCTTGCAAGAAGGTGGGTGGCACCTTTCCCAGGGAGCTTAATGGTCACTTGAGCCCTGGTATACTACTTTACATGTCAGTTTTGGATGACTATTTGAATTTGGCTACGATGTTGAACTCAAGCCCCCAATGTTTTCTCTGAAGGAAAATATTATTTTAAAAAAGGCAAAATATGGAATTTATAAATTACCTTAATCCAAACAAAAAATACCATGACAGCAGCTACATTGTTGAACTCTATTTGCCAGTACGCCAGATGTTCAAAGTTGGGGAACGTATTCTGATTTTCTAGAAACTCTACCAGCATTTCTGCACTTGAAGTTCTGAAGATATTGATTCCTATAGCTACTATCGACAGCTGAAAAGCAAAAAAGATTTCCATTTCATCACAATGCATTAACTTATCTTAAATCAGTAGTTTTTCTATATCAAGATATAAATTCCAGGGCTGTTATTTCCAACCCAGCAACACTCATAAAAGTCACTCAGATAATGCAAATTACCAATAAATATGTAAAGAAATATTGCTTGATTTCATGAATCAGGAATAGAAACTCAATGGGTGTAATAATGCTATAGCAAAGTTAAGCTCCCACATGAATGACTGACTTCCTTTTCTTCCTGCCACTCTCACTTAAGTTACTTTCTACTCTTCTTCTTTCTTAGCTTTATTTTGCTTTCTGTTTCCCATTCTCTGGTTTCTCTTCATTCTCCAAAGTCAAGCCTTTCATTCTTTGATTTATTCCACAAGCCTCGGTAGATGCACGTGCACATGGCACTGTACCGGGCTTAGGAAGGATACAAACAAGTGAAACACAAAAGCCATGCCCTCAAGAAACTTTTACACTTTGGTTAAAAATGAGATAAACATACATAATCAAATGATTTTTTTAAAAAAGCTTTACAAAAGGCAAGTAGTAAAACAAGCCATTCCAAAAAGTACTCAGAAGAATGGAGAATTAGCTTGATCTTCAAATATGGTGTAAATGGCAGAGAGAACCTGAGAAAGCCAGACAGGGAACAGACAGAAGCCAAGGGCCTGTCCTTCCTTACTGGTTTCTACACCTTATCTCATTGGGGAAGGATGGGGAATCTCCTCTCCTGTGATTTATTGCCTCTGAAAACCTGCAGGAAGGTCAGCTATGGGTCGGTTCTGACTCTGTGGTACATACACAACACTACCACCTTCCCTAGAAAACTCTGTTGGTGCAGTCTGTGGGGAGTTTCACAGCTAAATCAAAGGTCGTACCTCTTGATGGTTTGAATTTACCAGTGGCTCTGGAAGAGAAAGAGGAGTAATCTCTTCCCATTACATTTGTAGCTTTGTAAACCCAATGGAGGGTCAACTAGAAATTCCTTCTGACTTAATGGCAATGAGATGCTTTATCTCATGACCGTATAACTTTTCCAGTCCACTTTGGTTCTGGACTGTAAAACAAAATCACCAGGGGAACATTGGTCACTACCTAGCATCTACTACCACTGTTGTTATTCACCATCAAGTCAGGACTGACCCAGAGCTGAACCTCAGCTGGGTTTTCAGAGGCATTAAATCACAAGACAGGAGACTGCCCATCCTTCTGCGGAGCAAATGGTGGATTTGAACCACGTGCCTCTGGGGTTGCAGTGCAGCTTCTGTTCATCATTTCTATCCTTGGGGGTGATGGCCAGAGACCACTTTACTAGCTCTCCCCAAGTGGGCTGTCCACATCACAATCCTAACAAATGCTGCTCAGTGAGCTACCACTCAGAACTGAAACAGCGGACATGAAGTTGGCCATTTTACAGAGCAAAGCTGATATATCTGCGCTGGTGATCTGTTTTGACCTCTCTGGAATATTTTTCTAGATGGATTTAGCTGAGAAGGAAGGAGAAGCTGAAATAGTTGACTGCATAAATCCAGCAAAAACCCTTCCCTCTACTTTCCCAAGGTACAGTTTGCTACTCAGGCATTTCCCCAATCCTGAAGAGTTCCCTCTGCATTGGGAAAATATCTATCAAAATATAGATTATATATGGTGGCTTAGTGGCAAGAAGGGAGCTCTAGTAGCCTAGCTGCAAGAAGCTGTACTGCAATCTCGAAGGCACACAATTCGAGGCCACCAGCTATTGCACAGAAGGAGGATGTGTAATCTCCTTCCATGTGATTAACTGCCTCTGAAAAGCTGCTGTAGGGTCAACTATAAGTCAGTTCCAACTATAGCGTACTCAACAACAACAGTGGCAAGGAGCTGTGCTGCAACCCTGAAAGCCCACAGTTTAAAACCCACCAGCTGTTTAGCTGGAGAAAGATGGGCAATCTCCTCCTCAATTAACTGCCTCTGAAAAACCTGCCAGAGGGTCCACAAAGGGTTGGTTCCAGCCCTATGGCAACAGGGTAATTTCCATCTTCTTCCCCACTGTCACATAGTTCTGACTCATAACGAATCCCTGTGTTGCAGAGCAGAACTTCAATCTTTACAAAACCAGGTCTTTTACCATGGTGCTGTTGGGGGTGTTTAGTTAGTAGCCCCACTGCAAACTGTTGTGCCATCCAGGATCTACAACATTAATGTCATAGAAATACAGTACATTTTTCTGCAACATTAAAATACAGTATGGGGGGAGAAGAGTTTTGCATCATTTATGTTCAATATGTAATTTTTTCTGAGTTTTCATTTTGGGGACTTTCACTTCTATCTGTAAAAAAAAAAATAAAAAAAAGATTTTGGAATACTAACAACAACAAAAAAAGACTTTTTCTTTCTTCTAGAATATAGATTTCATGAGGATAAACATTTTTTATTGTTTTTGTTCATTCATTATTCATAATGCCAAAACAGTCGCAGGCACACAGTAGGTGCTCTGAAAATACCTAATGACTATATGAATGAATCCTTTTCATCCAGTGAAAGCTAGCAAGCAACAAAACTATTTGAATTTTGACTTACTAGAGTTCTTTCAATTATAACAAGTGATTATTATTACTCTGAAAAACTCACTGGCATCAAGTCAGAACTGACTCACAGCGGATCCTTTCTCGGGTTTCTGAGGCTGTAAATCACATGGAAGGAAACTGCCTATCTCTCTCCCTTGAGCTGCTAGTTCATTTGAACCTCCACGGAGGTGTGGTCTCTGGATTAGCAGTACAATTTCTTACAGATTAGGCCACCAGAGCTCCACTAAATAATTACTGTTTGGAGCAAATAATTGACTGAAAAAGGCTACAGACTCTATAGTGTTAGAATTGAGAGGGTAGAAAAGGAGAGCAGAGGGGAAAAAAACTGCAGAAGGATTCCAACGTATCAACATATTTCTATATAGGAGACAATTTAAACTTCCAGGTGGATAGGAGCAAAAGCCCAGACTAGTTTTTTTTAGGTCCTAAAGTGTGAAAAAGGTACATATGAGGATATCAGTAAACAGGCCCTGACTTCTACGTAGAGAAATTTTAAGGAAGAAGTGGGATGGCATAAGACTTCTTCCTTGTTCTTCATAAAAGCATACTGTCTGGATCGTCTTAGAAGTACTAAGAATTAGTAAATCAGTAAGAGTAGCATGCACTGTGAAGCAAGTTTTCAAAGAAATGCTTGCAAAATGTGGTGGCTGTGGAGCCAAGGGAACTAACCTCAGTTTCCATGACTTCATCAACTATTCATCTCCAGTGGTTTTTAAAGTGGGAACAAAGCTATCCACTGGGGTGTGGGAAGAAAATATTAGAACTTGAAAGCAGGTGGTAAGAAAATGTTAGAATTCATTTGTATTTCTTTTTCATCTCAAATACTTAATTTCTTTTTATGTTAGTACCGATATGTGTTAGGCCATATACTGATCACATATTGATATATGTGTGTAGTTTCACTGAGAGGTACAAGATAAAAAAGCTGGATACCATTGAATAGTCTTTTGTTTGTACTAAGTTTTTTTAGTTAAAATAAATAAATAAGCTTGTAATTAATAAGAATAACATTTTTTTTGTTTAAATATTATCCAAATTTCTTAAATTATAAATCTTTCTCTTGGTGGTGCCGTTGAGTATAACCCACAGCCACACTCTATTTACATTAGATTTGAACCCTGTTCTATCCTGTACCACTCTCACACTTCCTTACACACTAGAGCCCACTGCAGCAGTCACTGTGTCAGTCCCCCTGGTTGACAGTTCTTTCTTCATTTGCCAACTGACCATCTTTTCCAAGCATGATGGCCTCTCCTAGCAACATGCCTTTAGTATGTGAGACGAAGCTTTATCATCTTTGCCTCCAAGGAACAGTCTGGCTGCACTTTCCCCAAGATAATATTTAGCTGATCTTTTGGCAGGCCATGGGATGTTCAGTACTCCAATATCACAGCTCAAAAGCAATAAATAAATAAATAAACATTTCTACACAAGGCAAAATGCTAAATTGGTATTCTCAAAAGTTCCTAAAATCATTGTGTTCTTGACTGTCTATGTCAATTGTCTTTAAAGTTTTCTGTTAGAGGTATAATACCTATCTATCAGTTTGTTGTACTGGGGCACATAATTTGCATGTTGTTATTTACAGCTCAGGTATGTAGATGTTTGCTTGTTTACTGTTTGTTTTTATTAGCACTTGTCTGTCAGTATGCTGTACATGGTTAACTCATGGGTTACGGAAATGTTGGAAGCTACACCAGAAGGCAGCTTCAAATTCCAGAAGAGTCACCCATCATGGACAGGTTTCAGCAGTGCTCCAAGATTAAGAGAGAAACAGGAAGCAGGACTGGCCATCTACTTCTGAAATTTCAGGCCTTTGAAAATCCTATGAATAAGAGACGCATCTAGTATCAGAGATAGAGCCTGATTAGAAGTCACTCAAAATGAAAAGAAACAGCTGCAAGCATCCTTTAACATCTGGAACATGGAATGTCTGACACATGAAATGCAGGGAAACAGGAAGTTGTAAAAATGAAATGGAACATACGAAGATCAACATTCTAGGCATTAATGAACCCAGATGGACTGGTATGGGCCACTGAGAATCAGAAAATCATAGACTCTATTATGCTGTGAATGAAAATCTGAGTAATAATGGTGTTACATTTAGAGTGAAAAAGATAATTTCAAGATCTATCCAAAAGTAAAATATTGTGAGTGTTAGGACATTATCTATACAGATACAAAGAACACTTGTTAATATGATTCAAGTATATGCACCAATAGTAAAGTCAACGAAGAGAATATTGAGTTTTTCTACCCATTTATGCAGCCTGAAATTTACCAGACAATCAAGATGAATTAATAATTATTAATAACTGGAATGCAAAAGTTGAGAACAATGTAGAAGGAACGGTTGTTGTGGTTGTTGTTATGTGCCGTCGAGTTGCTTATGACTCATACCAACCCTATGTACAACA